TTATTCATGGCTCCTTTATCATATATTAATTAACCATATATGCATGGACTTCTTTCTAGGCTCTCTTCTGTTCCATCAACCTGTGTGTCTATTTTTCTGCCAGTACCATACTATTTAAATTACTATAGCTTTGTAGTATAGTTTGAAATTGGACAGCATGAGATCTCCTGCTTTATTTTTCTTAATTCAGGGTCTTTTGTGATTCCCCACAAATTTTAGGATTATTTTCAGTAGTTCTGTGAAAAATGCCACTGATATTTTGATAGGGATTGCACTAAATCTATAGATATTTCTCTGGGTATTATGGCCATTTTAACAATATTAATTCTTATCCCCTAGAATGTTGTTTTAAAAATACCTGTAATAATATAGAATAATATAAAATCCAGGCCCACAGTTCAATCTGCTAATTTTAGAGAATAAGTTCTCTAAAATTATTGAGATAGTTGACCCATTTAAATAAACCATCATAGGAATCTCTACCTTTTCCCTCAAATAGGCATATATCTCTGGCAAAGAAATTAAACCAAATGTAAAAATTAGATACAGAAACAAATCATTGTCCAGTATCTGGCATGGTGTTGAACTATTAGTAGGTATCCAATAAATATTTGCTGAGTTATCTTATAATTTAAGTACTTCCATTTCTTGGAGTCTGGACATGTTACAGGTTTCATGGGTTGTACCCAATCTTACTGAAATTTTAGTAAGGTGCACTGTGATGCAAAACATTTTTCTCATGTGGTAATAGGATCAGTCCTTGAGCATGGATTTCAATTCTCCCTGGTCGCAGAACTTACAACATTACTTCTGTGAGGAAAAAGAAACATCAGGGATCCCCTTCCACTCATTTGTACCATTAAGCTTGTTTAATCTTTGCATTTCTTTTTGCTAGTTTAATAGAAACATAACTCAGAGGTATGGCTGTTTTGGTTTCAGACCACCACAATAAAGCAGATATCACAGTGAAGTGGGTCAAATGAATTTTTTGGGTTCCCAGTACATATGAAAGTTGTGTTTATACTATATTGTAGTCTACTAAGTGTGCAAGAGCATTATGTCCAAAAGAACCAATGTGCAAACCTTAATTTTAAAAATACTTTATTGGTAAAAATTCTAACCATCTTTTGAGCTTTGAGTGAGGTGTAGTCTTTTCGCCTTTAGAAAGCCTTGCCTTGATGTCGGTGGCTGCTGACTGTCCAGGGTGGTGTTTGCTGAAGGTCAGGGTGGCTGTGGCCATTGCTAAAAATAAGAGCAGTGAAGTTTGCCATATTGATGGGCTCTTCCTTTCACCAACAATTTCTCTGTAGTATGTGATGCTGTTTCATAGCATTTTACCCACAACAGAACTTCTTTCAAAATTGGACTCAGTCCTCTGAAACTCTGCTGCTGCTTTATCAACTAAGTCATACAATATTCTAAATTCTCTGTTGTCATTTCAACAATCTTCACAGCATCTTAACCAGGAGTAGATTCCATCTCAGAAAACCACTTCCTTTGCTCAACCATAAGAGGCGACTCCTCATCCAGTAAAGTTTTGTGATGGATTGAAGCAATTCAGTCCCATCTTCAGGCTCTACATCTAATTCTAGTTCTCGCTGTTTCCACCACGTCTGCAGTTACCTCCTTCACTCAAGTCTTGAAACCCTTGAAGCTATCCATGAGGGTTGGAATCAATTTCTAAACTCCTTTTAATGTTGATGTTTTGACCTTTTCCCATGAACTACAAATGTTTTTAATGGCATCTAGAAAGTGAGTCCTTTCCAGAAGGATTTCCAATTTACTTTGTCCAGATCCATCAGAGGAATCACTATCGATGGCAGCTATTGCCTTATAAAATGTGTTTCTTAAATAGGAACTTTGAAAGTTGAAATTACTCCTTGATCCATGTACTGGAGAATGGATGTTGTGTTAGCAGACATGAAAACAGCATGAATCTCAATACAGATCTCCATCAGAGCTCTTGGTTGACAAGGTATATTATCAATGAGCAGTAATATTTTGAAAGGAATCTTTTTTTTCTGAGCTATAAGTCTCAACAGTGGGCTTAAAATGTTCAGTAAACCATGCCATAGGCAGATATGCTCTCCTCCAGGCTGTGTTGTTCCACTGACAGCACAGGCAGAATAGACTTCGCATAATTCTTGAGAGCCCTAGGATTTGGGGAATGGTCAATGAGCAATGGCTTCAACTTAAAGTCACCAGCTGCATTATCCCCCAAGAAGAGAGTCAACCTGTCTTTAGAATCTTTGAAGCCAGACATTGACTTCTCCTCTCCAGCTATGAAAGTCCTAGGTGGCATCTTCTAATATAAGGCTGCTTTGTCTACACTGAAAACCTGTTTGGTGTAAAATTATCTCAGCTAAATCTTCTAGATAACTTGCTGCAGCGTCACCATCAGCACTTTCTTGCTTCACCTGCACTTTTCTGTTACGGAGATCCCTTCTTCCCTTAAACCTCATGAACCAGCCTCTTAGCTTCCAGCTTTTCTCCTGCAGCTTCCTCACCTCTCTCAGCCTTCATAGACTCAAAGAGAGTTAGGACTTTGCTCGGAGTTAAGCTTTGGCTTAAGGGAATGTTGTGGCTGGTTTGATCTTCTATCTAGACCACTAAAACTCTTTCCATATCAGCAATAGGCTACTTCACTTCCCTGTCATTCATGTGCTCACTGGAGAAGCACTTTTAATTTCTTCCAAGAACTTTTCCTTTGCATTCACAGCCTGGCTGTTTGGGGCAAGAGGCCTAGTTTTTGGCCTGTCTTGGCTTTCAACATGCCCTCCTCCCTAAGCTTATTCATTTCTAGCTTTTGATTTAAAGTGAAAGACATGAGAGTCTTCCTTTCACTTGGACACTTAGAGGCCATTTTAGGGTTACTAACTGGCCTAATTTCAATATTGTTGTGACTCAGGGACTAGGAAGGCTGGAGGAGAAGGAGAGATATCAGTAGAGCAGTCAGAACACACATAACAGTTACCCATTAAATTCACCTGTTACACACATGTGGTTTGTGGTACTCCAAAGCAAGAACAATAATGACATAAAAGATCACTGCTCACAGACAACTGTGACAAATATAAAAATGAAAATTTTGAAATATTACAAGAATTATAATGATGTGACACAGAAACACGACGGGAACAAATGCTGTTGGAAAAATGGTGGCAATAGAGTTGCCAAACACAGGGCTGCCACAGGCGTTCATTTGTAAGCAGCAAATATCTGTGACCTGTAATAAAGCAGAGCACGGGCATGCAGTCAGTAGAAGGTGTGCCTGCAGTGGGATGAAGCGAGGCCAGCCTCAGTGAGGTCCAAGGCATCAGTCCTGGCGGCCTCCCAGCCTCGGTGGCTTTGTGGCCACACATGAAAACTCACGTTCTTCTGAATATACTTGTTTGTTCATCATGAGACATTTCTATCCAACAGTAGACATTAAAACACTAGATTTTAATATGGATTAATTGTAAATTAATGAAATGATTTTCTGTTAAGTCCATAGGAGAGCTTTGCCTAATCTTGTATAGATAGATATACTTACTTTATCCTCACAATCTTAGGCAGGTTGTATATTTTGTTTTGGTTTTCTAAATTAAGAATCAAATAAGTTGTGTCATCAAATTTGTATCAATGTCACAGATAGACTTTAGGTGTCCTGGATTCTGCGGGGAACTCACCAAGGTTCTTTCCTGTTCTGATATTCAGCTGCCGCGGCGTTGGCCACTGGCCCGGGTCCAGGGAGGTCTGTCCGATGAGTGTCAGTCGGTCAGGCTTCTCCCATTCACCCTGGCATAGCGACTGCTTCAAACACACCAGCCTAGCCCTGAAAATGGCATGCTGAAAGCGATCCATCCTCCATATCTAAGGGAAGTAGGGAAGTATCCCCAGGCTATCCACATTGCCTTGACCAGTCAGCTAACTCCAGCGGTTCTATATTGATGGTATTAGCTGGGTTCAGAGTGTGGACTTTGTAATTAGTCCTTCTCATGACTGCACCATTAAGTTGTAAGGATTTAGATTGGAAAAACTGAAATGGAAGTACAGAAGGAGTAGAAAGTTTTGGAGAAGAACAGTCATATAAAAGGATTATTTTAGCAGTAAGAAAGGTACAGTCCTTTTCTTCTGGGAAGGGAACAAAGGTGGGAGGCAGATTGACTTTTTACTGTAAATCCTTTTCTACTTTTTGACTTCTTTATCTTGTGCGTACATGTCATCTACTGAACATTCTGAATCGATGGTGTTATACCATCTGAAAAGCCCTTGCCTCCCTCTAAGTGGACGCGCCGCTTGCACGGCAGCGATGCTAGTGCCCATTGCCCTCAGGTGCTTATTTATTTCAGTGGCCAGGCGGTAGTCATAGGTTTGTAATGATTCTTGCACATTGCCTTTACTTTTCATAACTAACAAGCACCAGTTCTCATATTCAAAATTATACTTGTGCCTCTGTTTCTTAAAAACCCTTATATATCAATCCTACCATATTTAGAATAAACTCTCCAAGAATGCTTGCCTTGACTATTTTTTTAATATCACTGTCTCAAGTATTGACCAAAAATACAGTTAATGTGAAAGGATGACATTACATTTTATTTTAAAAATCCAGCTTTTATTCTGAAAGGATAATAAAAACAAAGGAGATATGACCTATTGACATCAAAGTGCTGCAATTTGGAATCACCTAAATTGTAAGTTCCTTAAGGCCAGGAAATATTTTTGAATATTTCTTTATGTCTCCCACAGTACAGTATCTTGAACATAGATGATATTTAATAGTCATTCGTCTTAGCTGATGAACCAAAGATTCCGGCATCAGAGCATTAGAGGAATCTAAACACACCCTTTAATTTTAGGTAATCCTGCTGTTAATTAAGATGAGGTTGTAACATTGAATATACAGCTACTTAGATCAAGTTTCCTTCGCACTCAGCATGACTAAATACTCAATAAATATTTTTGTATTTTTTAGATATTTCTAACATTTTTTTTGTTGTTATTTTAATTTTCAGTTACCAAAACTAAACTCCTAGCAACAAAATTATTTTAAATACGTGGTTTGTCCATGAAACAAACTCAGAAGAATCCTAAATCATGACGCAATCCTATACTAACTTCAAGTGCTGACCGCCGTGCCTGCTGCCTTCTTGTATGTATATTTGTACTGATCTGTTTCTAATACGTTTGTTATAATTCAATCTTTGTTTTAAAAATGTTCAGCCATACTTCTTAATGTGTGTTAACCAGTTGCTTAACCATGCTGGAATCCCTTATGAAACTTTCCTCTATTCAGGCGAGAGTATTAGAGATGGCATAGTAATGTAACAAGGTCTTTTGGTATTTCTAAAAACAAACCCATTTAGATGGCTTGAAGTCAGAGCTTCTCTGTGGTTGCATCCATCCTGTAATGTGTCATGTGATAGGATGATTCAGCATACAATATACATGTATAAACAGACCCCACATGTTCTTCAGATTCAAGGCTGTAGGGTTCATTGTTACTAACACTGATGTGATTTTTATTACTAATATGATTAATGTGATCAGTATTAATGTGGTTATTCCAAAATATTCATGGCTGTTTCAACCAGTAGATGATCAGCTTTCACTGTATGAAGAATGTGTTTGGTTAGCAGACAACAGCATTACCTCACCTAGCATGAAATTTCTTCAAAGAAGTCATCTTACTATTTGCTAACATGTTAATGAGATTTGTTATTATTATTGACTAACATTCCACAGTTCTCCTATGGATTTTAAATCAATACTCAGTAGTTTCTTAATGATTATTAAAGCATCGAAGGTTTTTCCTTTGGTATACTTTGTTTTGATCTACCTGTAGCACCGTTTGGCCCACACTGACCAGCACTAAATTCTGGTGAATTGCTGCAAGCCAGAATGTAGTCTCTCTGCTCCGTAATTCTGGAGCTTTAATAATCAAAGCTCTCAAAATAACTGGTTTACTCTAGCTGAGCTCACAATAGGCCAGTGAGAGAGAGAATGTGTGTGTGTGTGTGTGTGTGTGTGTGTGTGTGTGTGTGTGTGTGTGTGTGTGTGTGTGTGCGCGCGCTAGAAGATCACAGTTTTTAAAAATTCAGAGTTCCATCAGCTGATTACTTGTGTCTGTGACCGAGCACTCACTTGCTGGCACCCAAGTAATCAAGAAACCAAATAATACTGTTCGGTAAGAATGAAAGCAGAGTAAGGGGAGTTTGGTATTTGGAGAGATTTGTCATCCAAGCTGTGGCAGGTCCAGGTAAAGGAGTCCTTCACCATCAAACACACCTCTCCAGCCCCTGTGCTCTTACCTGCTGTGCACAGAGTTTCTCTTTCCTTTGTACAGATTCTAGATTAAAATCCAGTCTTGCCTTTGAATTGTTTTCTAATTTCAAGATGCATACTTAAAAAGAAATCACTGACACTCCCTTATTAATTCAGGGTTTAACATGTTCATAACAGTAATGCAGCAAAGGGAGGCACCTGTGGCTCGGTGTGAGAAGGGAGTTAGATGTCAAGCACAGCTCCAGAAGAAATTCCAATCTTGTTTCTGTCTCTCTCAAACTTTTATGGGGGTCCAGTTACTTAGCTTATGGAAACACTAATAAAAAACCCCTGTCCACCCCTATCTGGCACTTTGAAATTCCCATGAATCTCTCATTATTCCCTACCCTAAAAAATGTTCTCAGCCTCTCATTTACCACTTCCCTCCCAGCGTCTAGAGCACCAAGCCATGTGCTGCCAGAAACAAGCAGTCCCTGAGAGCTGTAGCTCCTTTTAGACCTTTCCTTCTGCAGCCACAGAGGGAAGGAGTTTAAGCAGGCAGTTCCTGAAAGCTCTGTGGAAGCAGTTGGGGGGAAGGGAAAGAAAGAAGCTGTGAACCCCTATGTTAATTTTGATCTGGTTACATCTACAAGACAATAGCCCTCCTTTTTTAATGGGATTATGGAAACAACCCCTTAATTAGCACATGCAGTGTGATGATTATTTATATGCAAAGTGTATATGGCTGACCTAACTAATCTGTCCCTTTCCTCAGTTGCCCGTTAGGGTCTCTTCACCAGTAGTCCTTTGACCAGTATCTTTTAAAATTTTTGATTGTCAAGGGTCCTGGCATGCTTCAGTAACTGGGAGAGAAAGCACTGCATGAATTGGGTCCCTCCCATTCACATGCCAACATAGCCATGCACCCTTTGCATACAGAGCTGGGAAACATCATTATATGTGGTTTATGTTTAGTTGGTATTGTTTGAACAATCATTTGCTAATATTTTTTCAGTCTTTTTCATTAAAGAAAATTTGAAAATAAGAAAAGCAGTAAAAAGCCCATTTATATTTCAATAAAGGCAAATACTGAGCTGTTTTCTTACTCCTCTCCTTTTTTTCTCTCGCCCACCCTATAACATGCTTTATAGGATCCATAAACGAAATCATGTTATAAATACAATTCTGTTATATTTAACAGCTTATATGCTCAGCATTTTCCACTTATTTCATCTTTTTCTATTTCTTTGAAAGAAGGCACTGTATTTTATTTAGTAATGAAGAGGAGCAGAGTTTACCACTCCCAAATACGTCACATTGGCATGAAGATTGTTTTGAGCTAAAGGCAGTCAAAGCTCAGCAGATGGAGCAAGCACTTTTCCTTCCCCTCGACTGCCGGGGTTTACATCGGAAAGGGGGCCCGTGCCACAAAGAGCTGTTTCACCAGAGATGCTTTTCCCTAAGAAACGTATCTGCATAACAGGGAAACACCCTTGCCTTCCTGTGGGAAGGCCTTTCTCCTCTTTCTATCCTCAACCCCCCACCCTTTCCTGAACTCAAGGTGTCATGTAAGCCTGGTTACCTGGCTACCCTTTGAGTCTACGGATGGTAATGGTGTGTCTGTACAAGTGTAATTTTTTTGTTTTATTTTTTTCTCCTGTTAATCTGCCTTATATCAATTTAATTATTGGATCGGTTAAAGAGCCATAGAAGGGAAGAAGGGAAAATTTTTCTGTCCCTGCAGAAACTTCCCTTCCGTTAGCCATTCAGTATATGAGCATCATTCCTGTTCTTTTGCTTTCGTGTCATTGCATGCTGGCTCCCCACCACCCACCATAACCCCGTGGCAAAGCTGAGCTGGGCGTGCTGCTTGCTGCCGCAAGGAGGCCACTACCTTGACAGAGTCTCAGTGGCATCTTTGAAGGATGAGGGCAAAGTCGGGATATTTATAAGGCTTTTGGGGTCCGATTTAAGGTGGGTCTTTTGGTAAGAGGCCTTAACTAAGACAGTAAAAATCATATAATAGTTTAGGGCCGACTGGAAGACAGGCAATGAGACAAGGACGGTGGGATTAGGCAGAGTAAGGTGAGGGCCTCCGGAGAAAAAGCAGAGCAAGATAATTACAGTCAGAACAATGTAGCAATGTGCAAAGAAGTCCCTACTGAAACTGTGATAAGCATTATGCAAAGTCAGTCACACTAATTCTTTAGGGTAAAGATACCAGACTAGGAATATAGACATCTTCAGTGAGATGAGTTAAAACTCAAAAGGCCAGCAGCAGCTCGGCCTGGAATGTCTGAGTGTTCCGGCAGATGAAGAAAAGTGTCTCAGCATAACCCGTGACTTCACTGTATCAATTTAAATCATGACACTGTAAAATTTACCTTAGCCTGCTAAAAGGCCCAGCTTTTTTTAACCATACCGGTGTGCTATATTTCCTTCTCTGATCCTAACCAAGTAATCTGCGACCTAGGAAAAAGATTAATTTAGTAAGCAAGCCCAACTATAAACAGCCCAAGAAGTTAAGAAGTAAGATTCTTAACTTACTTCAGCAAACAGGCAACAACCCAGCCCACCTTGGGGGCAGGGCAGGCAGTCTTAATTGACATACTCCCAGAGGGAAACTGCTGTCTTGAGAAAGAATCAGAGCAGAACATTTCTATTACTCATCAAAAACGAGCATTCTGGGACCACTCAACTAGTCTGCACCCCTAACCCTTTACCCTCATTCCTGAAAATACTCAACCGCGCATAAAACCCCTAGACAATGAGCCAACCGCGGACTCTCTTGTCCCCTCCTGGTGTGAGCCGGGAGCCCTGTCCTCTCATTTTATCTCTAAATAAAAGCCTGTTCCTTGCTCTCCTACCTTGAGTGCTTGTGAAGCTCATTCTTCGGCTTTGTGAACAAGAACCCCGGCATCAGCAAGGCAAAGGTTCTGAGGCTGAAGTTTTAGAAGCTGGAAGAGAGGATGGCTGCTTAGTGGTACCTCTTGGAAACTTGAGCAGTCTGAAGTCCGTCTAAATGTCTTTGCAGGCTGTCCTAGAAATGAACAATAAAGACAGTTCCAACTTTTATCTCTGAAGAATTTCTTAGATTAGCGAAGTCATGTTGATGCAGACAGTGGAATAATCAAAGTATGTTAGTGAAGTAGCTGAACAGTGAACTGATGTGGGTGTAAATGGTTTTGTTTCTCACTATATAATAATGCAGTGAATATCTGTATAAGTATCTTACTTGTATTTGAGTGTCTTGTTCTCTAAATTGATTCCCAGAAGTGAAATTACTGAGGCCAATGGGTTCCATAAACATTTTTAAAGTTGTTAAGATTTATTGCTAGATTACTTTCTAACAGTGTTATACTGTACCAATTTACTCCCCCACCACAATTTGGTGTCTTCATTTTTTAAAAATACTTTCACAATGCTAATTATACATATTTCACATCTTTTAACATTGTATTTATGTATGTTCTCTTGAAAATCAGGCTCAAAATAAGTAATCATAGGCAAGCAAATTCTATGGGAAAAAAGGTACATTATTATTTTTTTTATTAAGATACAGCTGGCATATAACATTATATTAGTTTCAGGTGTACAACATAATGATTTGATATATTTATATAATTGCATAATAACTACCACTGTAAGTTAACATCCATTACCACACAGTTACAAAAAAGTTTTTTCTTCTGATGAGAACTTTTTAGATCTACTCTCTTAGCAACTTTCAAATGTATGTGTGGGTAAAATTGTAATATTTCCAGAATATCTTGCCTGGCTTTAGTACATTTGCATAGCTTACTGGCTTGCTTCTTTGGGAGCAGAGGAGAGAGATGGCCCTGTACTGCAGTTTGTAAGCAGTAGACGGGTTTTAAACTTTATTTCTCC